GAACAAATCAGGATCTGAAGCCAGGAGCTGCTGACCAGGTTTAATCCTGAGCAGTTTTACTGAGCTCCAGGGCTTTGTGGGTTTAGTTTCTGAAGACATCTGGGCTCAGTCCTTCTGAAATCACCTTTTCCCTCCCAGAGCTGCTTTCCCCTTCACTTACTTTCCCCATTTCACTACATCCCACCTCCCTCCTCATGGGCAGGTTTGAAACCCTCTTTTCTCCCACTTTAAAGGGTAAATATATATATATATTTATTTTTTTTGGTACTGTTCCTGTACAGTTGCAAGGTGAAGAACATTTTCTAGGCATGAATTATTGATGAAGCCCTCCCAGGCACACCAGCCAGTGTGCATATTCATCAGGCAGCCAGTCCATTATTCATGAGAAACTCACTTAAATAGGGATGAGAACAATGATATTCTTGATTGAGATGCCTGAAAATGAGCTTGAGAAAGAGAGTTGTGCCATTGAACTCTGGCCAAAACGCAGCCAGAAAGTTTTATCAGAATCACAAAAAAGAAAGAGGAATTCTACACTCTAAGGGGGTCCTTACCATGGTCCTTTCATTGCCAGCCACATGGCAATGCTATTTTTTAAATAAGACTTGACACAGAATTGCATCACAGCTTCTTCATGCCCAACTCCAGACCTCTGGCTGCACCTTCTGCTGGGGGATTCAGCAGCCACTACCTGCAACAGATTTATAACAGCATTTAGGCCCCATAGCTCACCCCAGATTCATTGAAGATTATCAAGTGAAGCCTCTCTCCTCCTTTAACCAGACAATGTTTTTAGGCCCAGATGCCAAAGCTTTGCTGAACACTAGGAGTGGGGACTGCCTGCTTTTGGAAATGCAGCCCTAATTACAAGGTGAAAGAGTGCTGGAATGGAAGAGGGAGTTTATTTCCATAAATCTCCTGAGGTCTCTCCTGTGCTGCTGCTGGATGAAGGGAAATGGGGGCAGAACAAGCCTGAGAGATGCACGTGTCTGATGGCAGCTTCAGCTTCTTGAATGTTTTGGCCAAGGGGAGCCCATGGTCACTTTGGAGAGGAACCTGTTCTTTACACACCCCACGTGTGCCAGGGGAGGCCTTGCTGACACAAGTGGGACCCACAGCAGGATGTTGGCTCCCCACAAGGAGGGTTTCTGGGGGGTCCCTGCCATGGGGAGGTATAAAAAGGGGTCCTGGGGAAGGCCCCAGGACGGACTCAAGGCTTGTAACAACAATCACAAGGACACAGTTTAGAAGAACCAACATAACCTGGAGCTCAGGCTGCAGCCACCAACTGTGTTAGCACAGTCACTGTGCTAATGAGCAGCTCTGCCTGCTTCACACAGTCCTCAAGGCTTAATTAAGCTTAACAATATTTGGAGGTTACTAACCATTTCCATTGATCTTTTATGCATGAACTTGGAGGAGGTCTCTTTTGCTGGGCGCAATTCAGGAAGAAGCAGGGAGAACATCAGGGACTCCCTCACCCACCAGTTTCCCCAGTCCTGGGGGAAACCCAGCCCTGGGAATGCTCTGGCCTGACTGGACAAGCATCTGGGCTGGGTCACCCCACATTGCCCCTGGGCCATGCTGTGGGACCCCCACCTCACCTATGGGTCTGGAAGGGCACCCCCCTTGCCTCGGACCCTGCTGAGGATTCCCCTGCTCAGTGCTGGGGCCTGGGTGAGAATGTCCCCCCCTCCCCACCAGGCCCTGCCCACGGTCCCCTCTCATGTCTGCATCCCTCATCCCCCTCCCCAGCCCTGAGGCCTCCCCGGGGACCCCTCCACTGCACCAGGGCCTATGGAGGGGACCCCCCCAGGCCCTGCTCAACCCTTGCTCCTCCTGCAGGTTCCCCCACTTCCCCAGGGCCTGTCCAGGGACCCCCCGGCCCTGCTTAGGGTCCCCACCCCATCATCCAGACCCTGTCTCGTCCTCTAGGCCCTGCTCAGGGTCCCCCTTCACCCCTTGGCCCTCTCTGCTCCTCATCCCTGCCTCTCTGCTCCCTCATCCCTGCCTCTCTGCTCCCTCATCCCTGCCTCTCTGCTCCCTCATCCCTGCCTCTCTGCTCCCTCCTCCCTGCTTCT